GTCCTTCCCTTAGAGTATGTGTTCCAATATCTTCAGTGGATGCCTGAAATTGTGGATATCCTAGGGATACTATGTTTTTCCTGTGTACATAGCTATGATAGTTTAGTTTATAAATCAGGTACAGTAAGAGCATATCTGAATCGCCAGTGTCACTATTCTTGTACTTTGGGGCCACTATTAAATAAATAAGGGTGACTTGAACACAAGCACAGAAGTACAGCAACAGTGGATCTGATAACCAAGCAGGCTCCTAAGTAACAGGTGGGGTGAGCAGCATATACAGCATGAACAAACAGGATAAAGGGGTGATGCAGATTTCAGGCCTGGAGGGTGGGAGATTTCATTATGTTACTCAGAACAGCATGCAATTTAAAACTCATGAACTGTTTCTTTCTGGAATTTTCCAGTTAGTATTTTCAGACCAAGGTTGACCATGGGTAAATCAAAGTGTGGAAAGTAAAACTATGGGTAGATTACTGTACCTTTACTTAAAATTTATAGTGAATGTGGACTACTTATATAATGAAAATGACCATCTCAGGAAGGCTACACTTGACCTTCAGGCCACTATAGCTTTGAGAAGTCAAATGCTCTTAGGGACTACTTGGTGGTGCCCTTCTTCTCACCTTGTAACTTTGAAAGATGAGATGCTATCTTCCCAACCCAGCAGTTTCCTGGGGTAGGTCAGAATCCTGATTATAAATGATCAGGTCCCTGGAGCAACAGCATGAGAATCTTCTGTGGCATCACTGAAGGGTGCAGACCCTGGATTCTCTGGGGGTAAGGTCTGGGAACTTGCACCTTTGTAAGCTCTCTTGATGCGTAAGGACTACTTCTCTGGGTCATCAGTCCCAGTCCTACCACTTAGAAGCTGTGTGGTATTGGGCAAGTTACTTTAATCATTCTGTATTACTCAGCCCTGTGCTGAGAAGCCAGATAAGGACAATAACAGATTATCTGATTTCATTCTCTGAATAGTATTACTGTTCTTTTTTATTGATGAGGAAACTGAAGCTTGAAGTGGTAGACCAAATTGCCTGTGGTCACAGCTAATTAAGTGACAGAGCCAGAACTTGTACCCAGGCTTCGATCATAGAGGAATGCTTTAGAAAACAGTAACACTGGTAGTAGTTATGACTATTCCCACATCTCCCCTGAGTTTACTCTCTAAAGTTCCAGTGGCTAACATATAACACCAAGGCATACTTGGCCCCTCTCCTGTAGGAGCTTTCACATTTGCAGCTTCCAAACTAGTGTCCTTTTACAATCCAGAGTCCTAAATTGTACCCTGAAGGTGTTGTCTCTCAGTCTAGTCCGACTCTTTGCAACCTCATGGACTGTAGCCTGCCAGGCTCCTCTGTCTATGGGATTTCCCAGGCAAGAGTACTGGGGTGGGTAGACATTTCCTTCTCTGGGGGATCTTCCTAACCCAGGGATCAAACCCGAGTCTCCTGCATTGCAAGCAGGTTCTTTACCACTGAGCCACCAGGGAAGCCTGAGTCCTTTTAGCGTACTTATTCTGCCAAACCCCAGGGCTAAATGTCCAGTTTGAGGGATACTGACAGAGGGATGTGGGAAGACCAGGACCCCAGACAAATGGCTAAAAGACCTGGGGCACTGTAATCTGGGGAACTTGAGCAGGGAGGCTCCACTTCCAAATTTCTGACAACTGACCTGTGGTAGAGATTAGACGTCCTCCACGTAGGTACATCTAGGTGTGCTGGGGAGAAATCAGGAAGAAGCCAATTTGGTTCAATGAGAGAAACTTGTAGTGCTTAGCTCAAACCATGTTAGATAGCTGGATACCAGCAGGCAGTGAACCATCCATCATTAGTTTACATAAGAGAGGGACTGACTTCAGGCTGACCTTAAAGCCAAGAGAGACTTGGAATTCATACCCTGGTTTCACTCTACACTAGCTGTGTAAGTTTGGGCAAGTAACTTAACAAATCCCATTTCTTTACCTATGAGAAGGGTATCTCATTTTTTTTTGAATGTTAGATGTATACAAGAGTTAATGTTTGGGCTGTAATTGCAATGAAGTAATTTCATTGTAACAGAAATGCAATGCACAGCTAGCTTAAGCAAAAAGGGGAATTTACTAGCTTACATAATAGGGAATTTCAGAGATGGTGCTGGTTTTAGACATGACTAGAGTGTCCATATATCATCTCTGCTTCTTTCTGTGCTGACTTCACAGTCGTCACACTCCTTCCTCATTAGGAGAGGGGGAGGACAAAGCTGCCAGCTCCGTCTCCTTACCGCTTAACATGCCCCCAGAGTGTGACTTTTGACCCCAGGGAAGGCTGGTCCAGCTTGGGATACAGATGCTCCCTGCACACTGTGATGAAAGGATATAGGACTTCCCTGATGGTCCAGTAGTTAAGAACCCGCTTGCCAATGTAGGGGACGTGGGAATGATCCCTGGTCCGAGAAGATTCTGCATGCTGCAGGACACCCAAGCCTGTGGGTCCCAACTCCAGAAGTCTGCATACTGCAACGAGAAGCCACTGCTCATCGCAACCAGAGAAAGCCCTCATGCAGCAATGAAGACCCAGCACAACCCAAAATAAATAAGTAAAAAGAGGATACAGAATGCAGTTGGGGCCTAGGAAACAGAAACACAAGAGTATAAGTAGCTACTAGAGAGTGACAGAGCTAAGGCAGAGTAAGAACTCAGCCACTGTCCCATCTCCAGGCTGGGCCCAGGGTCATAGTGAATCATCGTTCTGCTTTGAAAAACAAAGACAAAAACAAAAAAACAACTTTATTTGACAAAAGACAAAAACAAGTTATTTACAGTAGTTTTTTGCTCAGATAATTCAACGGGATAACTGTGCTTCTCCTCCAGGCTTCTCTCACAACCAGACCAAGCAGAGCCTGCCCCACCCCCAGCCTCCCCATCATGTACAAGGGGGGATGCCAACCAGAATTCAGCAGCACGGCTCCCTCACCCCTTACGCCCTCCACTGCTCAGTGCACTGTGGGAAGCACAAGTCCCCCCACCCCCAGCCCACTACACCTCCAGAGTCCCCAGCTACCAGTGTCTTGCAACAGTCACGCCAGACCTGGGCTCACAGACACGGGGTGGGAAGGTAGAGGCCGGGCAAGCAGCAGCCTCCGCTAACCCTGAAGCTGCCATGTCCATTCTTCCCCAGTGGGGCCTCAGGAGGGTGAGGGTCCCTGATCCCCCTGGGACATACAAGGAGAAGAGGCGGAAGTGAGAGCCTAGAAGACTCGCCTGCTAACAGAGAAGGAGCTCCTTCTCTTAAATAACCAATCCCCGTTCCTACATCAATGGGTGGGCCAAGCCACTCAGAAGTTGGGGAGCCTCCCTGAAGTCTTCAGGAAATCACCCCAGAAGGATAGAACACGTGTTGCTGCCTTTCTCCTGGCCAGGCCCACCCGTCAGCTAACACCCAGGAACTGTGCTCCTGTGCCCAACCTGGCAACTTTAGGAAACTACAGGCTGAGTATCCTGACCTGTCTTTTGGCCCAGTAACAATGTTATTCATAACAAAAAATATTTCACCTAATAACCTAGGATTAGTGTTTCTTAGGATATACTAGAAGATGGGGGTATATTGCTGTTGAATGCCATCAGCAATGAAACAGCAAAAAAAAGGGGGGGGGAGGGGAAGGGAGGAGAATAAGACTTAAGTGATCTTTCTCAGTGTGAAGTTCAGGGCAGGGGCTTCTGCGGCTCCGATTTAAAGAAAGGTGCAACAAAGAGACACAGAGAACAGGCTTCATAACCGGCTTCTAGCCCCAGCCTCTCCCCAGGCAGGTCCACAGGCAGCAGGGGGCACCAGCCCACGCTCCCTGTGGGAATAGTCTCCGGCCACCGTCATGGGAAAGGCTGCCCACGTAGGGCTTTCTGACCAGTAGGTGGCTCACTTCTCTCCAAGCAGGAGCTACAGGGAACTTTTTGACATTCTGGCCCCACGAAGCCAAGTTCCTAGAAAGAATTCAAAACTCAGGCCATGGGGTGAAGCTTTCAATAAAGGAGAAAAGATTAAAGAGGGAAAAAAAAAAAACCACCCCACTGCCTCAGTCTAGCTTACCTCCCCCACCCCCACCCCCACCATACAGTACAAACAAAAACAAACCAAAACAACAAACCAACCAACCACCTGTTTTTATCCTCTTCTGCTCTGCACGTGGAAGGTTTGGTCGGATTCTCTGTTGGACCCTCTCTGGTGTGGCCTGATCCCCTTCTGCGCATGACGCAGAAAAGCCAAAGCCCATAAAAGTGTTTCTGCTTTTTTTTTTTTTTTTGGGGGGGGGGAAGGGAACCAAACCAACAACAAAACAACCATTTGGAAATTCGCAGATTTAGATGGTCCCCCAAATGAAAATACTCCTTCCTTGTAAAACAATCCCCAGCTGCAGTGGTGAACTAGTCCCAGCTCATCAGGCTCCATCAGGCAATGCACTCTCATTCCCCACACCGGGGCTAACTACGCCTGTTCATGCAAACCACAGCAAAGAGGGGAAAATAAACACAAAGTTTGGCGAAGACCTAAACACCCAACTGGACTCGGTTCTGTTACATCTGATCAGTACCTCTTTTCTTTTGTTCACACTTATGAACCTGGAATGTCCACACTTGGCTTAACAAAGAGAGGCCCTGTCAGGGGCAACTTGGACCCAGCACAGGTCTGAACGAGGCTGGTTTCCTGTGCCCAGCCCAGGAAAGCAAGCTGGAACAAAGGCGTCCTGGGGATTCTCTGAAGCAGCAGCAGCAGCAGCAGCACCACACCTGTCTCCCATGTCTTGGTCTCGTCACGGAGCAGGCCTAGAGAAACGGCAGAGTCAGCAGAGAGGTCCCGTCACAGCGCAGTGACACCGTCTGGTGTCTTCCTGCTGAAGACCTCCGGACAGAGGAGATGATCCTGATGTTTGGCAGTGATCCAAAGAAAACCCTCTGTGGGAAGGGGAACCAGAATGGAAACCCAGGACAGTGGGCTCGAACCTTGAGCACCCCTGCTGGCGGATGCCTACTTGGGGTTTTCAGGGACTAAGGCAATGGGAGTGCGCAGCAAGGGGGGTGACGGGTTCTGCTGCTTCTGGAGCTCCATCTCTGCAGCCCTCTGGAGCGCCACCTCCACCAGCAGCTGGAAGCCGCTGAAGTCCTCCTTGTCCTGCTCCGGGGGTGTGGGCGGGGGTGTGTTGAAGAGTCCGCCCGTGGGGCTTCCAGCTTCGGCCCTGGTCAGCAGGGTAAGTGTGCTCCCAGGGGTCACCAGAGGCTTGGGGGGCTCCAGCTCCCCTTGCGGGAAAGCGGCTCCTGGCTTATCTCCCTGGCCCGAGTGGAGCGGCATGGAGCACATGGACAAGGAGAGCACGCTGGTGGGGGCCGGTACGGACACAGCCAGCACGGAGGGGCTGCCGCCTCGGGGGAGGGCCACATCGGAGGCCTTGCCCCCGCGGCGGGAAATGGTGTACTGGTTGGGGTCTTTGCCATCCTTCCGAAGCATGTCTGGGAGGAGCCGCCGCCGGGCGTTGATGAACCAGTTACAGATCTGGAATGAGAATGAGACCCCGAGATCAGGTTCCTCGACTGAAACCAGCTACAAAGCCCCTGTTCCAGGCCCCAGGAACACAGCAGCAAACAATTCAGGTACAACTGCAGCCCTCAGACAGATGTTTGTTGGGAAGAGAGAGTTAAAGAAGAAATCAGATAAATGAAAATAAAATGCAACCAGCCAATGAAGGGACCGTGCTGATGGAGACAGGAATGGGAAGACTGAGTCAGGTTTGCGAGGACCCATGGTGGTGGTCTCTGAGAACAAGGCTCGCACAGCTCTCCAGTTTAGCCTTGCCACTGGCTGTCACTCACTCTCTAAAGTGCAATACCCCAGAGCTTCCCTGGTGGTTCAGTGGTTAGGAATCTGCCTTTCAATGCAGGGTATGTGGGTTCAGTCCCTGGTCGGGGAACTAAGCCCACGTGCCATGACTACTAAGCCTGCGCCTCAACTAGAGAGCCCGTGTACCTCAAACTACAGAGTCCACGCACTCTGGAGCCCACCTGCCACAACAAAGATGGTCTGTGTACTGCAACTAAGACCTGATGCACCTAAAATAGAAAATATTTTTTAAAAAGTAAAGTAAAATGCAACACTATTATTCTTGTTCTAGAAAACTGCCATTTGTCTCCTACCACCTATAGAATCAAGTCCAAACTCCTGGGCCTGGGTAGTAAACCCCTCCCCTGTTCATGGCCTATCTTTCCAGCCCTTGTATAATTGTTAGTGTGAAACTGCTCACCAGCCTTCGTTGAGGCCCTGTGCTTAAAAAAGAGAAAAAAAAAAGGCTCCATGCTTCTTTGCACATCACATTCGTTCTTTCTGGAACACCCACTTCTTTACCTGGAGAAGGCCTACTCTTACAAGTCTTGGCTGATAGAAATTAGGCTAGACAGAGGACATGGTTTCAAAACACATCTCTTCACCTACAGCTGCTACAGTGTGTTAGCTGGTCCGTCATATCTGACTCTGCAACCCCACGGACTGTAGCCTGCCAGGCTTCTGTCCATGGGTCTCCAGGCAAGGATACTGGAGTGGGCAGCCATTCCCTCCTCCAGGGTATCTTCCTGACCCAGGGATCAAAGCCGGGTCTCCTGTATTGCATACAGATTCTTTATCATCTGAGTCAACAGGGAAGACCACAGCTGATGTGGGCCTGACAGTTTCTTCATACTTGAATGAATGACATCATGAGGGCAGATAATTGTTTAGGAAGTGTGAACAGCTTCTGCACACCCGAGAGGAGAAGGCACCTAATTATGGCATGACTACTGGCATCTAAAACACCAGCTTCTCATATCTCCTTTCCTCTCATTTACTCCTAACAGCCTGGAGTAACACTGATCGATCATGTAACAGCTCACCTGGGCATTATTTTAGAAGCTATGGATTAGACTAGGAAACAGTTTCTTAGCTGCATGGCTGGTGTAAGCTCATAAATACAAAACCAGGTTTCCCTTAAATAGGCAAATACAACCCCTTATCATTTTTTCCATGTCCTTCTCCCTCTTGCCCTCCACTGGAGGAGCTACTGCCAGGGGAAAGAGGCCAAATCCCTCTGCTGCTAACACGAAAGTACTGGAGAGAAGAGACTGTGGGAGCGTGTTGGTGATAGAGGCATGAGTGTAGCGTGGTCCATACCCACACATCTAGGCATGTTTCTAGGCATTTTCGTTGAGAAGTAGCCATTTAAGCACTGTGTGTGCGTGTGTGCGTGCTAGATCACTTCAATCGTATCCTACTCTTGGCGACCCTATGGACCATACATCTACGCAATTTTCTGCTAACAGTTTTATCAGCCCCATGTGTTTGGTCAATTCCCATTCTACTCAAGAACATACAGAAAGCTGAGCCTGGAGAAGTCAGGCAGGAGTCCACCTCCAGCCAGGGCTCCCCAAGCCCGGCCCTTTGGATCTGGAGGAACAACCACCCCTATTCTCTGGCATCTTTCTCTCAGGATATCAGAGGCCCAAAGCCCAGCTTCTTTCATTCACTGGAATGGCCAAGTTAGAACTCCTCACCTCCCTGCTGCCCTCCCTCTCAGGACTCCGCACTCACTCAGTGTTTACGGAGTGCTTAGCGTGCCAGGCCAGCTCTTGGTGCCGGGGATGCTTCTGTGAATTAAACAGACACACGCTCTGTCCTGTGGAGCTTAAAGTCCATCTGGTTGTGGAGACTGGCAGTGAACAAACATCACCATCACTGCCAAGAAGTGCCAGGAATAAAAAGGCAGTATATAGACATAAGAGCGACTTCTGTAGATGAAGGGCATGGGGAGACCGAAACCTGACGGATTAGAAACAGCCAGCCATGCAGAAAGCCGAGGGAAGGATGTTCCAGACAGAGGGAAGGCAAATGTCAAGGCCCTGAGAGGCAGGAAAGGGTTTGGTGTAAGGGACAGACAGAAGCAGGCAGGGCTGACCCCACGAGGCCAGAGCACCATGGTTAACCACCAAAGCGGCCTAAACCGTGAGTGGCCTGACCTACTTTCCACATTGTCGGTTCTTCTCCTCGGTTCACTTCAGTCGCTCAGTCGTGTCGGACTCTCTGTGACTCATGGACTGCAGCATGCCAGGCCTCCTTGTCCATCACCAACTCCCGGAGTTTGCTCAAACTCATGTCCATTGAATCAGTGATTCCATCCAACCATCTCATCCTCTGTGGTCCCCTTCTCCTCCTGCCCTCAATCTTTCCCAGCATCAGGGTCTTTTCAAATGCGTCAGCTCTTCTCATCAGGTGGCCGAAGTATTGGAGTTTCAGCTTCAGCATCAGTCCTTCCAATGAATATTCAGAACTGATTTCCTTTAGGATGGACTAGCTGGATCTCCTTACAGTTCAAGGGACTCTCAAGAGTCCAACACCACAGTTCAAAAGCATCAATTCTTTGGTGCTCAGCTTTCTTTATAGTCCAACTCTCACATCCATACATGACTACTGGAAAAACCATAGCTTTGACTAGATGGACCTTTGCTGGCAAAGTAACGTCTCTGGCTTTTTAATATGCTGTCTAGGTTGGTCATAGCTTTTCTTCCAAGGAGCAAGCATCTTTTAATTTCATGGCTGCAGTCACCATCTGCAGTGATTTTGGAGCCCAAGAAAATAAAGTCTGTCACTGTTTCCATTGTTTCCCCATCAATTTGCCATGAAGTGATGGGACCGGATGCCATGATCTTCGTTTTCTGAATGTTGAGTTTTAAGTCCGCTTTTTCACTCTCCTCTTTCACTTTCATCAAGAGGCTCTTTAGTTCCTCTTCACTTTCTGCCATAAGGGTGGCATCATCTGCGTATCTGAGTTTGATATTTCTCCCAGCAATCCTGATCCCAGTTTGCGCTTCATCCAGCCTGGCATTTCTCATGATGTACTCTGCATATAAGTTAAACAAGCAGGTTAACAATATACAGCCTCGAAGTACTCCTTCTCCGATTTGGAACCAGCCTATTGTTCCATGTCCAGTTCTAACTGTTGCTTCTTGACCAGCATACTAGATTTCTTAGGAGGCAGGTAAGGTGGTCTGGTATTCCCATTTCTCTCAGAATTTTCCAGTTTGTTGTGATCTACACAGTCAAAGGCTTTGGCATAATCAATAAGGGAGAAGTAGATGTTTTTCTGGAATTCTCTTGCTTTTTCTACGATCCAGCGGATGTTGGCAATTTGATCTCTGGTTCCTCTGCCTTTTCTAAATCCAGCTTGAACATCTGGAAGTTCACGGTTCACGTACTGCTGAAGCCTGGCTTGGAGACTTTTGAGCATTACTTTGCTAGTGTGTGAGATGAGTGCAATTGTGCAGTAATTTGAACATTCTTTGGCATTGCCCTTCTTTGGGATTGGAATGAAAACTGACCTTTTTCAGTCATGGCCACTGCTTGAGTTTTCCAAATTTGCTGGCATGTTGAGTACAGCACTCTAACAGAGTCATCTTTTAGGATTTGAAATAGCTCAACTGGAATTCCATCACGTTCACTAGCTTTGTTCATCATGATGCTTCCTAAGGCCCACTTGACTTTGCATTCTAGGATGTCTGGCTCTAGGTGAGTGATCATACCATCATGGTTATCTGGATCATTAAGGTCTTTTTTGTATAGTTCTTCCGTGTATTCTTGCTACCTCTTCTTAATATCTTTTGCTTCTGTTAGGTCCATACCATTTCTGTCCTTTATTGTATTCATCTTTGCATGAATTGTTCCCTTGGTACCTCTAATTTTCTTTTTTTTTTTCCTCTCTAATTTTCTTTAAGAGATCTCTAGTCTTTGCCATTCTATTGTTTTCCTCTATTTCTTTGCACTGAACATTTAGGAAGGCTTTCTTATATCTCCTTGCTATTCTTTGAAACTCTGCATTCAAATGAGTATATCTTTCCTTTTCTCCTTTGCCTTTAACTTCTCTTCTTTTCTCAGCTATTTTTAAGGCCTCCTCAGTCAACCATTTTGCCTTTTTGCATTTTTTTCTTGGGCATGGCCTTGATCACTGACTCCTATACGATGCCATGAACCTCCATCCATAGTTCTTCCGGCACTCTATCAGATCTTATCCCTTGAATCTATTTGTCACTTACACTGTATAATCTTAAGGGATTTAATTTAGGTCATACCTGAAAATGGCCTAGTGGTTTTCCCTACTTTCTTCAACTTAAGTCTTCTCATAGTCCTGTCTTTTCTCTCCTCCTAGTTTTTTTTTTTAGTTCTACCACTTTATTGCTACCAACCCATCTCCCTCCACCCTCGTGCACACATGCTCAGTCATGTAACCCCATGGACTTCAGCCTGCCAGGCTCCTCTGTCCATGGACTTTTCCAGGCAAGAATACTGGAGTGGGTTGCCATTTCCTCCTCCATCTCCTCCTAGTTTATCAACAGATAACTTACAGAGCATGTAGCAGCTGCTGCAGGGGGAGGGAAAGACAGGACCCACCCGCCCCCCCTTCACACACACACACCTGCCTTGTGCTGAGATGCTGGCAACTGTGTGGTCTGCAAAAACGTCTAACGTTCCTCTTACAG